ATGGCGACGGAGGTTTGGCTCGCCTGAGTCCAGGTGAGACGAGAACATCTGGGGACAAATGAGGTCACGTTCAACCACAAATGTCTAATCTCAGATTTTCAAACTAAAAAGTAGTTTCAGAGATCTGTGATATTTAAAAATACACAGTGAAGTTGAAGATGTCCACAAATAAAACTGATATAAATCATGATGTGTATTAATCAGAAGAGACGTCCCTACTGGTGACCGCCGCATTAGTTATTTAAATCATGCTGTCAGTAATCAGCTCAGTTCTCATTCTAATGTCTATAAATGACATGTTTACTGGTCATAATATATTTGTGAGTTTTAAAATTACAACATGGAAGTTCATATTCTGACCAGGAACTAGTGAACTGTGGATGTCTGCAACGCTTTACTTTCTTTGTTTTTGGAGATTTTCAGAATCAACACACAAATAGCAAAAAGAAAACTGAAGCTAAAAGCATTGTGTATTTATTTTTGGGGGTATTTTTACTTCTTTTTTCCTTTTTTCTTTGTTCATATGTGTCATTATGAACTGTTTCAGATCCTACAAACTGTGTTACTGAATATTTATTGTTATGTTGTTACTACTACTACTACTACTAATAATAATAATAGTTTACGTGGAATAAACTTTGATGTTGCACAGAGTCACCCTGAAAACATTAAAAAGACGTATAATTTCATTTTGAGCTTTTTCTGAGTCATCATATATTCTTATGAGTCCGCTTTACATTTTATTTTTTTAGTTTTAGTCTTTTAGTTTTTTTTTTTTTTTTTTTTGGTGGGATTAAATATGTTGTGCAGGCTATGCAGAGTGCTGTCCGTTATGCTGATCAGTTTGACTCCTGAAAAAACAGATGAAATCTGAATGGACCCTGGTTGGTTCTCACTAATATAATCACAGGTTTCACTGGCTGTTCACACGTATATGTAGGATATAAATAGCAACATTTTACAGAGCCAAATCATATGTTCTTATTTAAAGTCTTGTTAAATTCATTGCTTGTCTAAATTATAGACATCCACAACAAACTGCCTGTCAGTGTAAAAACGGATGAAATCTGAATGAACTCTGGTTGGTTGGCTCTAATTTTAACACACACACAGACTCACACGCTTGTGATACTCTGGACATGTCAGTAGTGTAAATATAGGAAGCTGTTTTAACAAAACAAGGGTCTACTGACTGTTTATTTTACTACATCAATAGTAGAATTTCTCTGAGTCATAAAACATGTTAATTAATTAATCACAGTGACTTTTCAAGACAATACCACTGTTATTAGTAGCAATTAGTTATTCCAGGATTTCTGCAAATCTTGGTAAACCTGTTAAAATGCAACAGTTACATATATTCTAGATTAAATGTACTGTATATCTGGCGATAGAAATGTTTAATTTTAAAAACAGATGAAATCTGAATGGACCCTGGTGGGTTCACTAATATAAACACACATCATGGAGCACAGACTCACACACTTGTGGTTCTTTGTTGGGAGCCTTTTTCACATGACCAGGTTTCATTGACTGTTTGGCTGTATTCATGACGTCAGTAGTCCACAATATTTATGCTTGTTAGTCATCTATATTATAGATAAAATAAATACATGACTTGTCAGTGGAGCGTGTTGTAAAAACGGATGAAATCTGAATGGACCCTGGTTGGTTCACTACCACAATTACACATCATGTGGCACACACACTGATTGTTGTTACTGGGAGCTTTTCTCACTCATGGGTTCTCTGACTGTTCACAGGTGTATTTAGGATATAAAAAGCAAACTTCTACTGATTCCTATCATATATTCTCACATTCAGTGCTTTTCTGTGTTCTAGACATCCACAACTAAACTGCGCCTGTCAGTGTAAAAACGGATGAAATCTGAATGGACTCTGGTGGGGGGGGGGGTGTCACTAATATAATCACACATCATGTAGCACAGACTCACACACTTGTGGTTGTGTGTCGTTGACGCTGCAGGCAGCCAATAGCTGATCACGATGATTCCTCCCGCGGACCAATCAGCGCCGCCGTTACAGCCCACCTCACGCGGAGGACGGTGATCGGTTCATTTCAGCACCTGGGAGCTGTCCGCGGTGCACGAGCCTGACGGTGAGGACACACACACGCGCGCGCGCAGACACAGACACAGACACAGACACACACACACACACACACACACACTGAATCACGAACACACACTCTCAAGTGTGACCGCTGTGGTCCGCGCGCACAGAAAACCCGCCGCCGCCGCCGTGCGCGACCCCGCCGCCACGCGCAGGTGTGTCTCATGCACGGATTAGTTGGAGCTGAAACCTGTTGATGCAGCTTGGAGGATCGATCGTCGGCCTCATCGATACGATCAGGTATTTATCAGCCGCTTCTGTTCGCACAGGTGGAACCTGCTGATCCGACGGCGAGACGCGCGCGCGCGTCCTGGTCAGGGCCGGCCCTGACCAATTTGGTGCCCCAGGCAAGATTGTAGTCTGCGCCCCTAGCATCACAGTGAATTTCACTCCTAATTTTCATACAGTAACACAAACTGTATGCATGTATTCAAGCTTTTATTTAAGTAGAAACAACACACTAAATGAAACTGAAGCAACAAGTCTTTGCCACACTCCCTGGCTAACTGACATGTATTCAGGCAAATATTTAACCACAAGCGCCGATGCGGGTCCTCTACCGTGGTCTTTAAACGTTAGCAGCTAACGTCTTTGCTGCTAACGTTAGCAGCTAAGACGCTAACGTAACGTCTTTGCTGCTAACGTCTTTGCTGCTAACGTCTTTGCTGCTAACGTTAGCAGCTAAGACGCTAACGTAACGTCTTTACTCCGAACGTTAGCAGCTAAGACGCTGCCGTTTTCGCTAACGTCTTCGCTGCTAACGTTAGCAGCTAAAACGCTAACGTAGCGTCTTTACTGCAAACGTTAGCAGCTAAGACGCTAACGTACCATCTTTACTGCTAAAGGTAGAGAAACTGCATCGGCGCTTGTTAATAAATACTTGCCTGAATACATGTCAGTTAGCCTGGCAAGCTTGCGGCGCCCCCCGTGGATGTCGGCGCCCTTAGCATTTGCCTATACTGCCTATGCCCAGGGCCGGCAATGATATGTCAATCAATATATCAGAAATGACAGAAACACGTCCAAAATGACTCAAGACTGGATGAAATTCCTTAAAAAATGTCTGAAATGACTCAAACCTGGTTCTAAATGACTAAAACTGTCAAAAAAACTTAAAACTGGTTCAGAAGACTCAACATTTGTCTGAAATGAACAGGTTCTAATCGACTCAGTCTGTCCAATATGACCCAAAATTTGCCCAAAAGACGCAAAACTCGTTCATAGTGACTCAAACCTGTTTCTAAATGACTCAACAACTGTCCAAAAAGACTCAAGACTGGATCAATATCCCTCAAACTTTGTCTGAAATGACTCAAACCTGGTTCTAAATGACTCAAAAATGGTCAAAAATGACTTAAAACTGGTTCAGAATACTCAAAATCTGTATGAAATGAGCAGGTTCTTATTGACTCAGTCTGTCCAAAAGGACTCAAAAATGGTACAAAATGACTCAAAACTGGTTCTAATTGACTCAAATGTTTCCCAAAATGACTCAAACTTGGTTACAAATGACTCAAAAACTGTAAAAAAAAAAAAAAAAGACCTAAAATTGGTTCAAAAGACTCAAAATGACTCAACTGTCCAAAAACACTCAAGACTGGATCAGAATTCCTCAAACTTTGTCTTAAATTGCTCAAACATGGTTCTAAATAACTCAAAAAAGACTTAAAACTGGTTCAGAAGACTCAAAATCTGTCTGATATGAACTGGTTCTAATCAACTCAATCTGTCCAAAAAGACTCAGAACTCGTTCGTAATGACTCAGAACTCGTTCGTAATGACTCAGACTGGTTGTAAACAGTCAGGAATGAGAAACATCGACTCCAGACTGGAGCAGAACGAGTTCTTTGGGCTGCAGGTGGAAACTTCAAACACCTTCCAGGTGACACCAAAGCTCGACTTCCTGCCGACGGAACATCGTTAGCGTTCACACGGTTGTCCTCGTTATCTGATCAGGAGGAACCATTTAGATGTAAATGAGCCCATTTGCACCTGACAGGACGAGGTGACGGAGCAGCAGCGGTTTGAAGAGTCGCCTTTGAAAGCTTCTTCCTGCTCCTCTGCTCCTGTAGAGGAAACACTGTTATTCTGAAACAGGGCTAAACCAGTGAACCAGTTTATCTGCCGAGTTTTCAAAATGCTGATTTGAGTGTTTGAGGTTGCCACGGTGACAGCGGAGCAGCAGCCAATCCCGGCAGAGATTAATCCAATCCTCGGTTTAATCATCTTATCGGCGTCGTGGGCCTGCAGCGGGTCTGAGACACGGCGACGCTGTAGGAAATGACCAAAACGAGGAGTTTCACGGTGAAAGTAGAAACGGCAGCAGGACTCGTTAGAAGACGTTCTGAGCGGTTTCAGCTCCACTGATCTGCATGAGTTAGAGATTTTCTACAAACACATGTGGAACGTTATGTTTTCTGTGATTTGACCAGACATCATCTGGACTTTAACAAAACACTGGAAACCTGCAAATAGTTTAAATCCTAATAAACACGATTCATGTTTCAAATGGAGGCCAAACATGAAAAAACGTAGATTCTTGATGTGGATGTTATGCACAGTGTCGGCCTCGTTGTTGTTGTTGTTGTTTACAGTCAACGTGTAAATGAATACCGTGAATCTGTACACTAGCTGAACCTTGATGTCCACAGTTTGTCTTTCAGACGTCTGTAACATGACGATGCCTGTTGGCTGATGTCACCACAGTCAGATTAAAGCAGGATCCTAAACACTGCAGCCGGTGAGCCTCCACGGCCTTAGAACCGGACTGACCGTGACCTGGCGACGCAGCGTTCAGCCCCAGAGAACTGAACAATGCAAAGTGTTGAAGTTGTTTGAGACGATCCTGTCTGTGTGTCCAGGTGAGGATGGCGAAGGTGAAGCAGGTGGGTTTGCTGGCCGCCGGCTGTCAGCCCTGGAACAAAGACGTCTGTGCAGCCAGCGGGGATCGGTTCGCCTACTGCGCCACGCTGGCCATTTACATCTACCAGGTGAACGGATGTGAATGTAAAGCAGAGAACCCTTTCACACGCTATCAGTACTATTGTGTTCATAAAGGCAGGTTCATAAATGCTTGGCAGCAACAGTTCCTGCTTTGTCTCCCAGAGGCAGCAGCAGACCTCAGATCGTGTATAATGTGGAGAGTTGGGGGTTTAGAGTGGTTCTATGTTGGACTAAAGTGCTGCTGTGTGATGCCTCTCCTCCGCTTGTTGCAGCTGGACCAGCAGTACAACGAGTTTAAGCTCAGGTCCATCATGTCGGAGCACAAGAAGACCATCACAGCCATCAGCTGGTGTCCCGACAACCCCGACCTGTTCGCGTCGGCGTCGGCCGATAACCTGCTGATCGTGTGGAACGTGGCGGAGAAAAAGGCCGTAGCGAGACTAGACAACACTAAAGGTGGGTGGGAGGTGTTTAGAACCTAAAGTCAGAGTTCTCAGCTAACACAACCCGCTGGATCTCCATGGTAACTAATGCTGTGGAGCTAGGTCTCCATGGTAACTGATGCTGCAGAGCAAGGTCTCCATGGTAACTGATGCTGTGGAGCTAGGTCTCCATGGTAACTGATGCTGCAGAGCAAGGTCTCCATGGTAACTGATGCTGTGGAGGTACCTGGACCAGGTTTTGTTCAGAGTTTAGATTTAAATCGGCTGTAAGAAGTGTCTCCCTTCAACTAAACGGTTTCCTGATGATTAACTCTGAGTGATCCAGATTCTCTATTTTCTAACTAAAACCATGAATGAAGCATCACGTTGCCATGGAAACCTCCATGTATTCAGCTGCTGATGCAGAGATCACATGAACGTGTTTCTATGTTTGGTCCCTGATGTCTGACTGATGCTTCATCTTCTTACTCAAAGAAAGTCTGGATCTGTTGAACCGGCCTCGTAGTTTGTCTGTCTGTTGTTCAGTTTCGTGTCTGAAGCTTCGGCGTCTCGTCGTGTCTCTCAGGCGTCCCAGTGTCGGTCAGCTGGTGCTGGAACTCGGCGGACGGCGTCGCCTTCGTCTCCCAGCGAGGCCCGCTGTACATCTGGGTCTATCGAGGTCCCGACCCCGGCGTCACGGTGCACAAAGAAGCTCACTCCTTCCTGTCCGACATCTGTCTGTTCAGATGGCATCCCACCAAGAAGGGCAAACTGGTGTTCGGGCACACGGACGGCAGCTTGTCGGTGTTTCAGCCGGGTATGGATTCACACTGGCACCAATCAAACGACCCGCCGACATCTGAACCTCCAGACCTGACAGCTGCTCTGAAAAGCAGGATAGTTGTAGTTAAGAATAAAAGAACAGCTTTTATCAGAAACTGTAAAAAAAATTTCAAGCTTCCTCAGATCCTTGAGCTGCTCACGACGTGAAAAATGACCCAAATCTAAGTTTAGAACTGTGATAGTTCATGAAAACCACTATTTTACAGCTCAATTACAAATATAAGCTGTTTGTTTTATATCCTGTAAAGTAAAAAAAGAGGAGACAAGTACGGAAACAAAGTCAGAGTAAAATATGTGAAGAATGTAGAAATGACAGAAACAAAACATAAACTCGCCACAAAGAGACAAAAGAGCCCCAAAAAGAACAACCAGAGAGAAGACATGAAATGATAAAAACGAGGCAACAAGCAACACGAAGGAGACACAAAACGAGAAGTATCACACTCAACACTACAACCAATAAACAGGCGACAAAATGAGGAAGAACAGGACATGAAACCACACGGATAAAACACCAACCAACACAAATCTACAGAAATGAGACACAAAAATAAGAAAAACGAGACACATGATAATGATACGAACCAACACACAACAAACAGAACAAGAAAAACGAAACACAGAACGACACGGATGAGACAAAAACCAACAGAAAGCAAGAAAGAGTAGATATGAAATGATAAAACCAAGACACAGATGAGACACTGAACAAGAAAAACAAACAAACAACGAGAAACAACCAAAGAAACTAGAACCAGACCGACTGAGTCAAGGTCCAGACCCGCCCAGAACTCTCTGAGCTCCACCTGCTGCCTTCATTTTATCCTCCAGCTGACGTCCACTGACTCCGACTGTCTTCTCTGTTCAGGCAGTAAAAGCCAGAAACACGTCCTCCGGCCCGAGTCTCTGGAGGGGACGGACGAGGAGGACCCGGTCAGCGCCCTGGAGTGGGACCTGCTGTCCACCGACTACCTACTGGGTCAGACTCAGCACCCACACCAGTTAACGCGATGGAGCCAAGTCTCAGCTTAGAGTCGTCATATTTCATCAGAGTCATGTCTGATTGTTAAAACTGTAGCAGAAAGTGAGCAAAAAAACCCCAAAAAATCTGCAGTTTGACAAAACCGTGAAGCCGTGAGCGACTTGATTGCTGCCAACAGGCTCACGGCAACAAGTCAGAGAGGTTCTGGTTGAACTGCAGGCAGTGTTGGTAAAATATCCCCAGTGTGTGAGTCGGAAACGTGTTGTACATGTTTAAAAAAGCTCTGTAAGATAAAACAAAATGTAAGAACAAATGTAAAATTCATCCTTTTTCCTACTGGTGGTAACGTCCGTAGACGCTTTAAGTTCTTTAAATTTTGGGGGGAAAACATGATCAAAGAAATGTGATAATTCAGATTTTAGTCTGTTTTTACCGTCATGCTGCACAGTATCATTATTATCGATCCCTCACTGGGAGGTCAGCAGCAGCTGAAACAGGACAAGAAACTAAACCATGAAAGTAAAGACGTGACAATAAAACATCACCGTGTGTGTGTCTCAGTGTCCAACCTCCACAACGGCATCCGGCTGGTGGACAGCGAGGCCCTGGCCTGCATCACGTCCTTCTGCTTCCCGTCGGCGGCCGCCTCGGTCCAGTGTCTGGCCTGGGTTCCCTCGGCGCCCGGCATGTTCATCACTGGAGGTAAGGCGAGTCCGGTCCAGAATGCGGTCCGCTCAGAGACTGAGCTGTTTGTGTGGCAGACGTGCGCTGACGGGTTTGTGCGTCCGTCAGACTCGCAGGTGGGCGTGCTGAGGGTTTGGAACGTGTCGCGCTCGACTCCTCTGGACAGCTTCAAGCTGAAGAAGACGGGATTCCACGCTCTGCACGTCCTCAACTCACCTCTGGCCAAGAAAGGTGAGAACCAATCAGATCCAAGCACCACACGCTGCTTCTAGCTCAGGTCAGCATGAAAATACAGCTTCAGGTTCGTCTCTCAGGGAACAAGAGTGTGTGTGTGTGTGTGTGTGTGTGTGTGTGTGTGTGTGTGTGTGTGTGAACCACGAGAGGCCAAGCAAAGAGTTCTACCTTCAGACTGTGAATGTTCCACAGTTCCACAGAGGAGGGTCCAGATTGATCACCTTAATGGACTTTTTCCATCATTTCTGAGCCTCAGAACTTCATCAGTCCAGCAGATAGACACATGACATGTAGGAGGAAGAACACGTCTGAGCGTTTTGAATCATTCCAGACGAGCTTACAGTCATTGTGGACATTTTTCACAACACTGGACAGATTTAGGACAGAATTTTTTAGTCATTCTGGACATGTTTGTGATTTTGGACCATTTTGAGCCATTTTAAGCAATTTTGAAGTCATTTTAGACACATTTTGAATCATCAGGGACCTGCTTTAAGTCATTTTTGACATTTTAAAAATAACTTTGGACAGATTTTACACAATTATGGACTTTTTAACATCATCCTGGACCAGCTTCACGTCATTTTAGTCATTTCTTGAGTCATTCTGGGCAGATTTTAAATGATTTTTAACATCTTGATGGACATTTTTGGACTATTTTTGAGTTGTTTTAGGCTATATTTATTCAAACTGACAGAAGAGGTACAAACAGACCAAACAGACTCACAATGACCATGTGGACCCGACACCACGCTGTGGACTAAGGAGACCGGTCCAGACCCGCTGTGTGTTCATGAAGGTGTGTGTTTGAGTCTCTACTTTGTGTTTTTTAATGAACACGGGTGTCGCTCCGTCTGCAGCTCAGAGGTCCGGTTCTCCCAGTAAGAGTCAGCACACCAGCTCCACCAGTGAGGCGGTTCCTCCCCCGACGCTGTCCCAGAACCGGTCCTTCTCGCTGCCCCCGGGCCACGCCGTCTGCTGCTTCATGGACGGGGGCGTGGGACTCTACGACATGGGCGCCAAGAAGTGGGACTTCCTGCGAGACCTGGTGCGCTGCAGAACCATCAGCCGGTGACAGAACCCGCCCGGCGCCGCGTTCTCATGGTTCCCGTGTTCTCTGCTGTTCCAGGGCCACGTGGAAACCATCTTCGACTGTAAGTTCAAGCCCGACGATCCCAACCTGCTGGCCACGGCGAGCTTCGACGGAACCATCAAGATCTGGGACACCAACACGCTGACCGCCGTCTACACGTCGCCCGGAAACGAAGGCGTGGTCTACTCACTGTCCTGGGCTCCAGGTACGACAACGCTGCGCATAGACACACAACGGACACACAACGGACACACAATGGACACACAAACACCAGAGTGAAACCTGAAGGCCAACGAGTCACGTGTCACACTAAACACTCGCCTCCGTTGACCTTAAAGACAGTTCAGCCCTCTGGAGTCAGTCTGGGAAACGGTTTCCACTCAACAAGAGACACAAAGGAACTACACGAACACATCAAATGACACAAGAGAGATGCTAAAGAAGCTCAAGAGAAAGAGAGAAAACATCTACAACCAGACACAAACTATCACAGAGACACAAAACGTCAACAGAGACACAAAATGACACATATACACACAAAACTCCCACTACGAGACTAAAATGACAGAAAAGAGAGACGAAAGAACTAAAATAGAGAAAAAACATCTACAAAGAGACACAAACTATCACAGAGAGAGACACAAAATGACTTCAAGACACACAAAACAACCAACAAGAAACACAAAATTGCTCCAAACACTCACAAACCAAATGCAAAGACACACCAAACAACTACAGAGACACAAAATTGTAGAAAAGACACCAAAACAACCAGTAAGAGACAGAGAAGAACAGCACAGACACACAAAGCGACCACAGAGACACAACAGCAGCAGCAGAGCAGAACAAAACGTTGTTGTGTGTGACGTGAGTTGGTATCTGAAGACGTCTGATCGTGTCGTTGTCGACGGCGTGTCTTCGCCGTCCGTCCTGTCGCGTCAGTCGTCCCGTTGCCGTTGTTGACTCTCTGTTTGTGTGTCGGTGTTTTTTGAAGGAGACCTGAACTGTATCGCAGGAGCGACGTCGCGCAACGGAGCGTTCATCTGGGACGTCCGGAAGGGGAAGATCATCACCCGCTTTAACGAGGTTAACACGCCGTCAGTAATGTGGACCAGCCACCAGGGGGCATGAGAGAACCAAATGTTGTTTCTGTAGCAGCTGGTTTGCCTTCATGAGCCCTGTTGATTAGTCCAGCTCGTTAAAGCTGTGTCTGTCTGTGCAGCACGGGACCAACGGCATATTCTGTATATCGTGGAGCCACAAGGACTCCAAGAGGATCGCCACCTGCAGTGGAGACGGGTTCTGGTGGGTATGAAACGACGTCATCAAAAGGTTCTGATGATCCACACTGTAGCTGGTTTCCGTTTGGCCCTGGTCCCTGCTGGTTCGGTGTCCTGGTGCTCCCAGTGCTCCTGCGACACCTAAAACTCCTCGAAGCTCCCAAACTGACCACGACCCTTGAATTCAGGTTACGTATGAGGAGTGTCAGAAAAGTTCCAGGACTGGTGTCAAAAAAGATGTATTTCAAACCCAAACTACGAACTACGAGTTTTCCCTTCAACGTAATCCCCCTGGAGTCTGTAACGGGGATCTCCGCTCTCTGCAGCCGTTGAACTTTTTTCTTCTGCTTTTATAGACATATCCTGTGTTTCATGTCGTCAGCAACGAGCACAGAGCAACAGACAAACCTGAAGTTTGTGGTCCGCTGGGATCGCTGCAGCAAGTGTACGGAGACGAGACGATGTCACTCTCACGTGTTTTTTAGCGGTGCAAGGGGTTTAAAGAGGGACGCCACCCCAGGAGAGGAAGGCCTTCAACGAGCAGGACCGAGGCCAACGTTAAGCGCGTCAGGCAGATGGAGCCATCGTTGGTTGACTGTTTGATTGATCGCAAATGAGCTGGACATGAACCGGGACAACGTCTGGAGGATTACCACCGAAGATTTGGGCGGAAAGTCTGGCAAAGATGGTGCCGAAACCGCTGAACGATGACCAGAAGGATCGACGCATGCAAGTGTGTCAGGACATCTGACCAAACCAGACTTGTTAGGGAGAGTCATCACCGGTGATGAGTTAAGGATCTTCGAGTACGACCCGGAGACCAAACACCTTCAGTGAAAGAGTCCGACGTCACCAAGGCCGAAGAAAGCAAGACAGTCGAAGTCCAAAGTCATGTTGATCGCATTCTTCATCGGGCATCGTCCACTGTGAGTTCTTGCCACAGGGCCAGACGATCAACCAGCACGTCTACAAAGAGATCCTGTTTGCTTCGTTCAGAGCGCCAGAAGAGGCAGAGTTGTGGCAGGACAAGTTGTTTCCTCTTCCCCAAGCTCGAGGGCTCATCAAGGAGACCTGTTTAGAAGACGTGGACGACATCAAGATGGCTGTGAGGACGGAGCTGAGAGGATCCTGAAGAATCCTTCCAGGAGAGCATGGCGGCGTGAAGAGAAGGCTGGAGGAGGGTGGTGGACTCCAGGAGGGTTACTGGGACGAGGAAAAGTTGGAGTTTGGATTTGAAATATATCTTTTGTGACATCAGTCCTGGAACTTTTCTGACACACCTTGTACACGACACAAGATCTAAAAAAACGAGATTCACTTCACACATGATCCATCAAGTGTAAGTGACGGGTTGGTAATGATTAAAACAGAAGTTCTAGAAAACGGCTTTATCTGAGAATAACGCTGACACTAATACGGATGAGATGAAGTTTCATCGTTCTACATGAGTACACATGAGAACCCAGCGACTCCCCGGATCTCCTGTAGACAGGACTTTAAAAAAAGAAATAAAAAAACACAAAGAGACGAAAACTTTAAATAAGCCCAGAAGGCTATAAGGAGCATTTAACTAAATACTGATACAGGACAGCAAACCAAAGCATCGTGTTGTCTCTGTGTAGATGTGTTGTTGTGTTTGTTTTCTGTCTTTTTTGTATCTCACTGATGAGCAAGCTTTAGTTTTACTTATTTAAATGTACTTTTTTTTTTTTAATTGAAAGATTAATGTTAAGGCAAGAACTTTTGCAAAACACAATTTTACCAAAAGGCAACAATAAAGACGTTAAAACGAACCACAAGAAGAAACAGAACAGACAGTAGAACTGCTTCTTTACTTCTTGTTTTATTTGGGTTTTATTTTCATCATTTATTCAGTTTCAAACAGTCCCAGAACTTTCTGACGGACCGTCCCATTAGTTCCTCACACACCCTCCTGTGTTTGTTTTATCGTTCCAACAGCATCATCAGAACCATCGACGGGAAAATCCTGCACAAGTACAAACATCCCGCCGCCGTGTTCGGCTGTGACTGGAGCCAGAACAACAAGTAGGAGCTCAAGTTCTGACAACGTTCTGAGATGTGATGTATTAATCCAATGTTCAAAAAATAGAGTACTGTTAATGTTCCCATAAAGTTAATATAACGTTTTGATGTCAACATTCAGGTGGAACACAGATTATGTTCTGAGATAACGAAGGAGGAACGTTCTGGAACAAGGTGTAAAGGTGTAAAGCTCTGCCTGATGTGTTCCGAGGATGTTTTGGGAATGTTCTTGAAGGAACACATTACAGGAGGTTCTCCTATAAAAGGTTTCCACACTGACACAAAGGAAGAACGTTTCACAAAAATGTTCTCCAGACGTTATCGAGGCCGCCGATGACACAACGTTTTATAACGTTCCTGTAATGTGACGTTAAAGGTGGAACATTTAGCTTCTGTTGCTACGAAGCAGGAACGTTCTTCAGAAAACGTTCTCCAGGCCTCAGATGACACGAAAACCCGAGAGTTTGAGGAACATGTTTGGGTTTTTAGCGTTACAGATGTGAACATGTTCTGGTAGAGCCCCAAATCTCAAACGATGAACCCGTAAACGTGCAGAAATAAGAACAGCTGCTGCAAGTGAAGCGACGTGAGAACAAAAACTGAAAGAGGTTCCTAGAAAATACAGAATGGGTTCTTTTCAGTCCAACCTTTCATGTTCCACCTCGTCTGTAGAGATCCAGGGAACCAAACGGGTTGTGTTCAGCTGAAAACATCACGGAAAAGAAACAGAATTCATCCTCCTGGAACCTTATTTCAGAACCCTGTGTTCGTCTATTAGCTGCTTTGTTTCCCTGCCACGCTAGCTTAGCATAGAGACGCTGCAGGCCGAGATAAACCGGGTTAGGGTCAGGGTAAACCGGACGGACTCGTCTGCCGTGTCTTTGCAGAGACATGATCGCGACTGGCTGCGAGGACAAGAACGTGCGGGTGTACTACCTGGCCACCAGCTCGGACCAGCCTCTGAAGGTCTTCACCGGACACCTGGCCAAGGTGTTCCACGTGCGCTGGTCTCCGCTCAGAGAAGGAATCCTGTGCTCGGGGTCGGACGACGGGTGAGTGAACTCGCTACAGGCCCGAGCTCGCTGAGGACGATGCGTGTTGCTGACGTGTGTGTGTTTGTGCTGCAGCACCGTTCGGATCTGGGATTACACTCAGGACGCCTGCATCAACGTCCTCAGCGGCCACACGGCTCCCGTCAGAGGCCTGATGTGGAACACCGAGGTGCCCTACCTCCTCATCTCAGGTGACATCTGCAAAACCAGAAACTCTGTTTGTGAGAAACGGCATTTGTGGGAGTTTAGCTTCATATGTCAAATATTTTCTGAGGGATTTGTCTGTAAGAAATTCCCCGTCGACCCACTTTCTCTGAACGACGGTATTTCAGGAACTGATGAAGATAAACACCTGAAACGTTCTCTGTTTGTTCTCATCACGTCGTTGATTCAGAATCTAAAATATTGAACAAGGGTGCTGCGATAGCTCACCTGGTTGAGCTGGCGTCCCATGTTCAGAGCGATGTGAAGGTCATGGTTTGATTCCATGTCATGGCCCTTTCCTGCAGGTCTCTCCCCTCTTCTTCTTCTTCTTCCCCACTTTCCTGTCTCAGTCTCGACTGTCTTATCAAATAAAGGCAAAAAGGCCAAAAAAAAAATCTTTGAAATATTGGACAAGTAGTTAAAGTTAACTTCAGAAACATTTTAGAACGATTTCTGCTCAAACATCTGATTTATACATAATAATAATAATAATAAAACATTTTAGAGCATAAAATATGGACATTTACAAAAAATATCTGTAAAATTTTAGATTTATATATCAAATATTTTCTGAGACACACATATTTAAAATCTGGCCGTCGACCATCTTTGTGCAGGTTTTTCTGAGGCTATTTGAACATCTGAGGAATTACTGAAGATAAAAACCTGAAACGTTTTCTGTCTGTTCTCATCACGTCGTTGATTCTGCTCAAATGACCTCAGATTACAGACGAGTTAAAGTGTGAAAAAATGCATTATCCAAGAAGACCTTAATATGAAATACTTGGTGACCAAAATGAAAATAATAAAACGTTGTAGTTGAACTGATTGAGCAGCTTTGACGAAGAGTTTTAAACTAAGGAAGGACGTCGTTATTCAGAAACTACAGTATTTGTGTTTTTGTGCTGCCACCTGTCAAACCTGCTCAGATGCTTTATTTTATTTTATTTAACCTGAAGCTGCACGTGGCCCAGAAAATATCATTCATGTTGTTTTTTGGTCTTTATATGAGCTCAGAGATGGAACTTCTCTGTTTGTTTGTTTTTAAATCAATAAAACAATAATCAGATTAATTGTCAAATCCTACAGATTCTGAATGATGAGAATTAAATGAGAACGTGTGACTCTGCATGTCTCTGAATACGATCACGAGCACCTGGACTGCACTTTCACCTCGTTTTTATGTTGTACAATCTGCTGACACATTATTTTGGTTATTTCGCAGGTTCTTGGGATTATACGATCAGAGTTTGGGACACGAGAGACGGCACGTGTCTGGACACCGTCTACGACCACGGCGCCGACGTTTACGGTGAGAAAAACCCGTTAAGCTCTGAACCCAGAGAAGGTTCTGGGTGTTTTTGGCTGTTTTTTTGGCTTTGTTTTCAGCTGTTGGAGCTGCTCTGAACACATCCACAAGTTTTCATCCCGACCATCGGTCACAGCTGAGAGACGAGAGGCTTCCAGGTTCTGCAGAAGGTTTAGCTTCATGCAGACGCCTTGTTTTAACTCGGCTCTGACGTGGCTGTGTTGCGTCCTGTGTGTCGGCGTGCAGGTCTGACATGTCACCAGAGTCGTCCCTTCACCATGGCCAGCTGCAGCAGAGACAGCACGGTGAGGCTGTGGTCGCTGGGCCCGCTCATCGCCCCGCTGCTGCTCAACATCCTGACCGACCGGCCCTGGGAGAAGGTCATCGGCAACACGGGTCAGAGCCTCGAGCTGCTGCTTAACCTGGAGCCTGGTTAACCTGCTGGTTAAGCAGCCTCCAGGTTAAGCAGGTCTAACTCTTTCCTCTGCAGACACTGCCATGGTTCCCGGGTCGCCGCCGCTGCTCTGTGGGAAAGTGTCCCGAGACGTGAAGCAGGAGCTGGACAAGCTGAGCGTCGACATCCGGGCCAAGAAGCTCCGCTGGTTCTCCGAGTGCTTCTCGGTAACTGCTGTCTGAATGTTTGTTGATGTGTCCTGTAACCTGAACCCGCCTGTGGGTTTAAAACACGTCTTCTGTTTAAAGGAGTCATGACACCGTTCATCAGCCAGAACCTGTAAAGACACAGAAGAACCAGCAGATCTTTAGCTTCCTGGTTGGTCCCTGAACCATCATGTGTGGAAATTCACCAGATCTGAGCTTCAAATCACAATATTTAATTAAAATCTTTACATGTCTCATTTAAAGACTCTCCAGCTCGTTAAATAGATCCTGTTTGACCAACAGTCAACAAAACAACAACAAAATGACAAAAGTTCTGTTGTCAGGTTGAACTGCAGCCAGTGTTTCCTCAGAAATCCAACCTCCTCGATCAATGAATACAAGCAGCAGCAAAATGTTACTAACAAGATGCACAATATGAAATAACGACACAGAACAGAAAAGGACAAATAAACAAGACAGAAAATGGGAAAAACAAAAAGGAGAAGCAACATGACCACAAAGAAACCAAACCGCCTGGAAGCGTCTAAAAACACACAGCTGGCTGCTGAGTTTGTCATTTGTGACTCAAAACAAACACAAAATGAGAAAAGTGAGAAACAGAAAGTAAAGAAACGTGTCAACAGTCTGTGTTGCTGCTGAACGTCCAGCAGAGGGCGACAACGAGCTGCAGATCGTTTCTCTTCATCCAGCAGCAGCAGAAACAAACACATCCACAGAGACTTGAGCTGCATGCGAGTGTCCTCACTCTGATTTCTGTTCTTCCTCATGACGCTCAGGTCTCGTTGTCTGGAGGTTTCAGAGCAAACCGATGTGACCGCCCACAGAGCCAGCTGTTTAACGGGGATTCAAAACCTCACGGCATCTTTCCAACACTGAAGAAACAGAATCCACATGCTGCAGATACTTTACACGTATTGATTTTATCTCTGTGAAAACTCGGCTGCAGTTCAGATAAGAAACGAGTCAAATTTAATTAGTTTAATCTGAGGTTTCACTCGTAGCTTCGGTGTTGAGGAGCAGAGGAGCAGAATTCTCTCTTTTCTGCAGAGCGTAGTTATTGTACAGTTTATTTGTGGCACATTTACAGAAAACAGTGGTTTTAATGAATTATTGTGATGTTGAGCTCAGATTTGGTTCAATTTTCCAAACAAACATGTTGCCTGCAGGTCACCTGGGTCATGGAGAGTCAGTGGTGCTGAAGAGTTCACAGGGATGGAGGTTCTGGTGGGCTTTCTTCTTGGGTTTCAGTGCAAATGGTTTATTTTTGGCTAATTGCTGAAACAGACACAGAACGAAGGGATTCTGGTGAACTATCTCAGTTTCAGGGTCAGACTTGGTGTCCGGCTGATAAACGTGTCATTCTGGTGACTCGATAGAAGAAGACGAGACTCTCGGGGTTCAGAGGATTCGTTATTTCTCAGTAACGTCTACATTTAATGCAACACGTTCTACAGTTTTTTAATCTAATTAAAAATTATTCAAAGCAGTGAAGTTTTGCACCACAGCTTCATAGGACCTTTGATCAGTTACAGCTTTATCAACCCTCTGCCAACGTACTGATGTAAGACAGCTAGTGCCCATAACAATGTGACCTGTTTGTACATTCAGACTGTTTGACTTTGGAGAGCGAATCAACACAAAGCTCTCTGCGCCGCGCCCTTTAATCCATGTTTACTTAAAGGAAATGCAAATCAACCACAAACCAGAAGAGAAAAGACTTGAACTCAGCTGGAAGGACGTGCAAACAGAGGTGGAGATGAGAGGTCAGACAGAGGAGCAGGTTTAGGACATGGACGAGTTTTTAGAACCGCAGCACTGATTCGTCTTCTTGCTTTGTAAAGCTCCACAACAGCCAAAAGATAAATAACCTGAGGTCAGTGAATGTGTCTCAGTGGTTGTAGTTTAAAGACTGGTTTATGTGGGAGGTCCAGTCCCTGGTGGATCAGAACTCCTGGAT